AACTCTAAAAAGGAAGTAGCCTGTTAAAGCACAAGGAACATGTCTCATACTGATTACACAAATTTTAATTGCTTCAGTGACAGCTCTAATTGTCAAACAGCAAAAACAGTTCTTAAATACAAAGACYGTATTGTGAAATAAGATTAGAAAATATTTAAGAGAAAAAAAAAGTAAAAAAAAAAAAAGGGGGGGGCTGGGAATATGGCTCAGTGTTTAAGCGCCCCTAGGATCARTTCCAAGTACCAAAAAGAAAAAAGTCTCCTTATGTCACTGAGGACACTGTCTTTGAATCTTTGAAAGAGATTATGATGGTTCTTTTGACCTTGAGCTCTTAAAAGATCAAGTTGTTATATAAGTGCAAGCCCAATCCCTGAATCCCTTTCTGGCCTCCAATTTGGCTATGTGATTGCTTGYTCCCACACATGCTCCTGCCATTCCAATCTGCCCTGAGGTTATATAGCCAGACAGTTCTTGCCAGAGGCTGCTATTTTGGCACCCMAAACTATGTACTATAAACTGAGATAGACCTACAGCCCCAACATCCTGGAACTTGAAGCAAGTCTGTGTCCTTCTAAAATAGTGTCTCTACCCTGGAGCAACATGTAGTGGAAGACAGCAACAAGCTCAGCTCCTGAGGTAGCAGGGAGACCCAGCTAGGAGAAAGCTTATCACCTCAGACATTTGTTCAGARGCCAGAAATAATCAGGGCCCATAGGGACAGAAGCAAGGCAGAGCCACCTAGTCTCTGGAACAGCTGGGGGACTTGAGGGAGATACRTAAATGTGGGTGATAGCTTCCATGTCCTGGCATGGATGGTGATTTCCTGACTAGGATCCCTTTGTAGAATCCATCTAGCTAGATGCCAAGAACTTGTGTGTTCTCAATAGGTGTATTTCATGGCAGGAAAAAGAGTAATTTTCCAGTCCCAAAAGCTGCCATCAGAAGAAAGTTTGCATACCTTGCCCTCTTCACCCTGCTAGTACTGGCAGAAAAGGCGAGGGAGATAGGCAGGTGGGGATAGCTTAAGGTGAGTTGCCTGCTCACAGGAGACTGGACAAAAACAGATCAGCCCTGGTTTAAAAAAAAAAAAAAACAACTTGGTAGAGGGAGGAGCAGCTGAGCTATCTTTCAACAACACTATTTACCTATCACCCTGTGGCCCTTGAGGTGACAAGGAACACTTCCCTTTGTCAGCTAAAAAGGCAAAGAGGTCATGTGGCACAAGGGAAAAGTGCAGAATCAGGATGCAGCAATGACAGATGCAGGAATACACACACAAGGGAACAGAGGTATTTTTATGTAGACACAGGGTCAGTACACATGGAAAAGTGGGGTTCGCAGTTCCCAGCAAGATGGTCTACCAGAGATGCATGTATCAAGGCTCTGGACAGAGGTTATCTGAGCCCCACAACAAGCTGACCCACTTAATTTACACCAAGTAGTTTACAACATGTAGGGAGTATGTTTTACAGCTATCCAAACTCTGGAGAGGCCAAGAAAAGGTCAGAGTCCCAGAGACTTCTAGAGAGCAACTCAGCAGGGCTAAGCAGCCAGGTACCTAACTCCACTAACTGCCTAACTGCAATGGCATGGCTGTCACTGTCAGCTGTGGCATCTCCTGGGGTGGAGTTGCTCTATTGGTAGGACAGGACAGACAAAGACATGTGATATTATGTGATATGGGCTTCCAGCAGCAGCCAATAAAGGAGATAAACACACACAGAAAAGTGTCACTGTTCCTGGGACCTTGGCTGAGAAAGCCCTGACATCCTGAAATCCTCTGAGTGGCCAATCCATAGCAACACCCTACTCTCCTCTCATAACAGCAGTAAGAGCTCAGCAAGCTGCACTTTCTCATTTTAGCTATTACATGACATTTTACCATGACAGATTTTCTACAGTGATACTCTCTCCTCAGATCTTTGCAATGTTTTAAGGACATTTTTTTCAGCCTTACACCATGATGTCATTCTCCTTTCATAGTTTAAAGGAGCAGCACAAATAAGACACATCATGGTCATGATACAAAGCTTTGGACACAGAGTGACCCTTGCATCTCATGCTTCTGGCAGGATACCTGGCTTCCCCACAACAGAAAGAYAGGCTCAGCATTAAGGTAGTCCTTATGGCCTATGTGGTGTGTAAAAAAAAAAAAAAAAAGAAGAAGAAGAAGAAAGAAAGAAAAGAGGACATTCTTAACTGCTCAAAAAAGACAAAAGCTAGCATTTAAAAGTAAGCATGTCCAGGCCCTGTAGTCTGTAATCCCAGCAATTCGAGGCCAGGATTCCAAGTTCAAGGTCATCCTCAGCAGCTTAGCAAGACCCTTCCAAAATAAAAAATAAAAAGGGCTGTGATGTAGCTCAGTGGCAGAGAACATCTAGGTTCCATCTCCTGTATGGCAAACACCACACATGCAAAAATGCACAAAGCTGAGCACGGTGGCATATGCTATAATCCTAGCTCCTTGGGAGGCAGGACTGTAARTTCAAGTCTAGTCCAAACAACTTAGTGAGACTCTGTCTCTAAAAAGGGGGGACAGGGGCTGGGGTTGTGGCTCAAGTGGTAGCGTGCCTGCCTGGCATGCGCAAGGCACTGGGTTCAATCCTCAACACCACATAAAAATAAAATAAAGATATTGTATCCACCTAAAAAAAACTTTAAAAAATAAATAAATATGTTTAAAAAAATAAAAAGGGGGGACAGGGCTGGGAGCTGTAGCTCAGTGGCAGAGCACTTGCCTAGCATGTTTGAGGCACTGGGTTTGATCCTTAGCACCACATAAAAAACAAACAAAATAAAGGCATTCTGTCCATATACAACTACAAAAAAAATAAATTTTAAAAAGGGGAAGGAGGAAGTGGTGTTAAGAATGTAGTTTAGAGGTACAGTGCTCCTGACTTCAATCCCCAGTACCACAAAAAATAAAAATAAAAAATGGTTAGTATGGTACTTGACAATGCACTTTCAAATGTCAGCAGGTATACCAGCCATCCAGGAGTTGGAGGTCAGCCTTTTTCATTTTTTAAGTGAGCATATATTATTTTTGCAGTCTAAAAAAGAAAATAGAGATGAAGGGGAGGGGAAATCTGCACCAATAACCTCAAAGAACAGCTCAGTTGATTTGGAATGACCTTTTTTTCACAGAGCCCATCACCAAACCCCTGGTAAGGAATAACAAATGCCAGACTCACCCATGTTGCTATGATGTGCTGATTGATACATTACCAAAGGATGGACCCCAGTTCTCACCCACCTAGAGTGTCAATGACAAGCATGGTCCCACTTCTTGAAATCCTCCAGGCCTCCCAGTCTTACATCATTTCTCTACAGACCCACTCTCTCCACAGACATTCTCAAAAGTAGCACCCGTGGGCAGACATCAGGATGACAGCAGAGATCACCATCTGACACAGAAAGTAGTCATAGGAACCACCATCTGTCATAGAAAGTAGGGACAGATCCAGACCCCACAATATTGCAAGTGATTGTATTCATCATGAAACACGATTGGAATAACAATGTACAAGTAAAGACATCAATGAAGCATAGGGGCAGAGCAGCCCAGGCAGAGCTGTGGTAGCCAATCATCTTCATTTAGGAAAACGCTATTGTCATCACTCATCAGAGCAGGCAGGTGCTCAGACTGAGAGGCCTGCAGTCCAAGGACATGCAAGTAACATGAAAACGTGGAACTGAGAACCCTTGCTATAGGGGCCCAAGGAGGTGAGAATACCAGAACATGTCACCCAGCCCCACCAGGGTGCTAGGATCCTGGGGATCCCAGAGGAGGCAGAGGTTCTGCTGTGCCCATCCCAGTCACTCTCCCCAGTACTACCACCCCACCAGACAGATCACCTGATTCAGAAGTGCTCCTGGGAGGGGGGCCCAGGAAGAATAGAAGCACTGGGAGCCAGTCCTAGCCCTAAACGACCTTGGAAACTCCACCTGTCCCCTTAGCCTGAATTTTCTTCACTATAAAAAGGGTTGGACTAATAAATACTTACCCCAAAAAGTTACCCAGAGGGTAATTGAGCAAGTGTGAGGATACCTTCCTAAGCACCACACAGCTGCCTCTTATTGCTGCCATCACATCTGTCTCATGGAAGATGGCTGAGCCAGAGTGGTAGCAAGTCAGTGGGTTCAGAGAGGTATGAAAGACCTGGCCCACCCACAGCATGGGCTGTTCCATTGGATAAAGAGGCTCCAGAGGCTCAGGGACTTATCCAAGGGTAGAAAGTTCACTTCAAAGCTGTGACCCAGAAGGAAGCCAAGGAGTATGGGAGAGGTGCTAGGCACAAGGTAGGGATTCTCAGCAACTGGCCCTCTGTGTCCATTGCCCAAGAGAATACAGGCCTAGTCCAGCAGTGGGACCAGGCCTGGTCTGGGTGAAGTCCTGCCCAGTCCACACCCCTGCCTTCCAGGTAGGGTTGAGGTGGGGGTTTAACTATTCAAGATACCCCCGGGAAGGCCGCATCCAGGCACTGGGATGACCCAGCACTTGCTACTTACTCTAAAGGGGCAACAGCTGTCATCCTGCTGTGGCGCGATAGCATGGGGGATGGGCCAGCGTGACTCGGCTCCAGAGTAGTCCCTGACGCTGGCTGAGGCCGCATCCTACCACTCTGCTGCGACCACGAAGCTCCATATCCCACCAATCTCAGCATTCCCTCAGCGAGTTTGCTCCTGTGTGCCAGCGGTCTCAACCTGCACGCTGCAAACGCCTTCCAGTACTGCATGGGATGCTTTCGTTGGCCAGGGAGGTCTGGTCTCCCTGGACCCAACAGAATCCCTGAGCCAGGCCGCCAGATTTCCGCACTACGCCTTGGAAAAGGGAAACTGAGGCACGGCGAAGAAGTGCAGCCCGCCTCGCCCTGGTGCAGCCTGCCTCGCCCTGATGCAGCTCGGTTCCACCGGAGCCCCAAGAACCCTGAGTCCCCGATCCCCGGCCAACCCCGCAGGGAGCAGTGTTGTCCAGGCCAAGTCGCCCGCCGCGCACTCACCGCCTCCGCCTCCGCCGCCGSTGCCGCCGACTTCCGGGTACCGCGCCCGCGCGGCACAGTAGCCAGCTCAAGCCCCGCCCCACCCTCTGCCAGTGCACTTAGTCATTGGACTAGGAGATGAGGGGCAGAGTAGAGCACCTAAGAGCAGGGCCCGGTTGGCTCTTCGCGCTGTCGCTCAGGGGCTGCAGTAGAGCTGCGTCAAGTCTGGAAGCTGTGCTGGCGTCTGAGCGCCACGTGACCTCATGGCCTTGCTGGTCTCCAGGGCTCCTCAGCCAGCTGAGGTGTCTTCGGAAAATCGAATGTCCCGTGAGCCTGTGCCCTCGCGGACACCATGTCACCTGTCCACCCTGCTCTCCTTCCTGGAAGGGGACAGGGATGCTCGCTTGCAGACCGCCCCCCTCTGACTTGGTCCTAGTCTTCCAATCCCTGTCCCCTAAACCCGACCTCTGGACTCATCCATCCTCCGTTCTRGACATCCTCTTCGTTTCCCCGCTCCAGTTTGCTTCTCTAGCCTCTGCCCCTCTCCCCACTGCAGCCCTAATTCCTGATGTTCCTGTATCAGGACACAGCCCAGACCCTTGACCAGGCCATTCAGCCACACCTGASCTACTAAAGCTTTTGAGCCCCCATGTGGACTGTTCTTCTGCAGGTCCAGGCCTCAAGGATGAGGGGCTGGCCCAGTTTGAGCTGTACCAGGTGAGCAGATGGGAACTCACTGGAGCTAGTCTCAAAAAGATAGAGACATTCCCTGGGGCTTCCTGTCCCCAGTGGCCTCAGAGGTATATCAGGGGCCTGAGCACTGCATAGTTGGAGAGTCAAGGACCAAAGGCCCAGGGCCTGCCCCAAAGTGAGTGTTCAACAAACTATGACAACTACATTAAGAATACTGACAATGTGTTAAGAACTCTAAACCCAGTGCCTTAGTCCACAGGCTTTTTAAATATATATACATATATATTTTTTTCTTTAATGTAGTGCTGAGGATCAAACCCAGTGCCTCACACTTGCTAGGCAAGCACTCTGCCATTGAGCTACAGCCCTAGCCCTCAGTCCACAATTCTTATTCACCCAGTTTACAGACATAAAACACTGAGCAGTTATGCCATCCAGTTGAAGTCAAATGGTGACTGGATTATATCCACTGGCCTGTGTTGAACACCCTGATGTCCTGACCCTGACCTGGAGCACTGACACCCTATGGAAAACTGCAGCTCAGAGAAGCAAACGCAATAATCTAACCTAGAACGACCCAACAGCACATTCTGCCCAGCTCTCTAGCTGTTGTAACTGTATGCCTCAGGAACCTATAGAAGCCTTCCAGAGAACTCCACTCTAGGACTCATGGCCAGTAGGTGGCAGACCTATCCAGACATGCAGCTCCCTTCCTATAGAACAGCAGCAGCACAATCCTGTTTGGCTAGTGCCAGCGATCTCCCTCTGAGCTRCCAGACCATACAGTCCATAGAGCTAAGACACAGTGATGTTGAACAAGCAGGATCTGGGTCTTATAAATGAGTGTAAGGAGGAGGTGGTACATGACTATGAGGTCATCACAATAAGGGCTCCAGGAGTAGTAGGGTCTGATGTCCTTGAAGAGATGCCCTGTGACAGACTTATTAAATCTCCCATAAGGAGTAAACTAAACACCCTCTGCCCAGCCCCATAGCATCTGAGTCAAGATGTTACCCACAGTGCAGCTCCACAGGAAGAGAGCTACATTGTTCACAGGGGCTCTTGAGTTCCAGGGGGTGATGCCTCATTCTGCAACCCCACCCCCAGCTGCAAACAGCATTCCTATGCCTAGATGCCAAATGGCTTTCACATCAAATGGCAAAAATAATGGATTGGTAGTGGCTGTGTCATGCTGAAATTGATTTATTATGTCTGCCAGGACTCAGGGGGACCCAATGGTGGTACCAATGGTGAGGTTTTGACCCAGGCCACTTCCTTTGTTCTGACCAAGCAACTTGGGTGAACAACTGGAGTCTCCAAATAGTTGGATTAGATCTAAGTGTCTGTATTAGATCTAAGTGTACTTCCATTAGTACTGTCTGCAGGTAAATTTGCTCCTCTTGTGGTCTTGGGGAATACAAGGAACCCAGGAACTAGTCATCTCCAGGTTCATCAGGGTAGGAAAGGTTTAGAACCAAATATGAGCCAGGTTCACTGACTCACTCTCCAAAAACTAGCCCCACTGGATAACATTCCTGTTGGTTCCCCTGAAACCACAAAAGTAAGTGGAGCTGGCCTAGGGTTATCACTGCAGGGAGGAGGTTGGTGCTCTCTGTATGGACGGGAAAATGAGGCTTGTGCTGATCTCAGCAGGAGGTAGCCAAAGTCCCACAATGTTCCTTTATCACTCCAGGTAATACAGGGGAAAGGGACACCAGGATGGAGTGAGAAGAAACATAACATCCCGTACCCAGGCTGAGAGTTGTGTCCAGGCCACCAGGAGGTGAAAAGGGGGTCATAGAGGAACTGCAGGATGGTGAAAGCCCAAGGGTTCTGTAGATCAAGGCCTGGTGGGGGAGGTAGTTTACCAAGGACTCCGTTCCGCCCTATTCCACTCCACAGCCTCACTAAGCCAAGAACGCAACTCTGCCGGGGCTGCAGGTGCCGTGGGGCGGTGAGAGTGGGAGAGTTCCCAGATCCCGAAGTCGGACACTAAACCTGTCATCTAAAGCAAGAACCTCTCTGAGCCTCGTTTTTTTGTCCCTAAAATGTAAATAAAATGAGGTAAGTAGCAGAACTCTCCCTCACCGATTACGTGAGGGATACAATTCGACGGTGGTAGAAGGGATCTGAGCGCAGCGCCCAGCGCTGGAGGATACCTGCGAACTAGGGTTGGTGATGGACACAACACTGCCGGAGTGTAGGGAAGAGTCACCGGCCTTGCCCAATCCCCGCTTTCGAGGCCGGACAATCTGAGAACGTCCTCAGAAGACAGCCTGGAGGGGGCAGTCCCGAGCCCCTGGCCTCCACCGCAACGTTCCAGGCAGGTGCCTAGGCCTCGGCCTCTCCGCGAGGGGGCCGGTCGTTGGCCAAACTGACAACCTCGAGGGCCAATGGTAAGCCGTCTTCTCTGTGCAACGGTCCAATCGGCATGGGTTGCCGGGCTTCTCGACCAATGGGAAAATTCTCAGTTAGATGGGGCGGGGCAGAGGGTCGCGTCGCCGGCCTGGGCAGCTTTGCGCACGATCCGCGCGAGGGGCGGGGAGGGTGGCTGACGGGCTGAGCGCTGGGCYGGGGAGGGAGGGGTCTGCTCCTGCACCGGCTCAAGTTGCGGCCCTGTGGACCGCGACCCGCGCAGCGCGGTGGCAACGCCTCTCCCYGCACGCCTAAAGACCCAGGGAAGCTCGACTGGAGGCGGAGACCGTGTTGCGGAGCCGCCCACGCTGCGCTCCAGGTAAGCTCAAGCCGGTGGGCGGGGTCGGGAACCCGGGGCTGGGGAGGAGGTTTGGAAATTCACGTCCGGCTGGTGCTGAGCCGGGGTCTGGGACCTGTGGTGCGAATAGGACAGGAGAAATGGGTTCCTGGGCCCTGAGTCCAGGTGCACGTGAGAGCGGGATTGGGGGGGGGGCGGTGGCCAGCTCCACCTCACCAGCTTTTTGCTCTCACCGTCGCGCTGGAGTCTCATGGCCCGCGGGGGCGGGTCCCTTTGTGCGCAGCCTCAGGGCTCTGCCGGACCTGGCCGGGGGTCGCCTAGCGTCGCGCGCCCCAGCTGAGTGCATCCCAGCTCCGCAGCGATGTCCACACTGAGCGACTACGGCGCCTCGAGGGTGGCCACGGAAACTTTCCAAGGGCCTGAGGGGCGGCGAGGCCGGGGAACTTTCCAGGGGTGGTGTGCCGTAGGGCCTCAGCCTGGCCAAGGGGATGTTCCCGCACCGCGCTGCTGCTACCGCCTGGGGAATAAGCGAGAGACACCGCCGGGGATCCCTGTCTGGTATCCCGGCCTGGGTCACTTCCCCCACGTCATTCCTGCCACCTTCTCTGACGGACGCAGGTCCTGGTTACTCTGAGTAGTGTGTAATCTGGGATTGCTGAGGAGTTGCCCAGGGCAGAAGTCTAAGTTCCCTAGCTTTCCCATTTTAACTCTTTAATAACTCAGTACTGGGTTACATTTAATCCTTTCTGATTGTGTTATCTATCAGATTGAATATCAAACTAAAAAACTTTGGCTCCTTCCCTCTAAATTAAGACATATTCAGACCCCTGGGTGTCAACCTTTAGGGTAAGTAGTCTCTTCCTCACCCCACCCACCTTTCTTATTGGCAACATCCCCAGCCCTTTTTTATTTTTAAATTTTGAGACAGGTTCTCTAAGTTGCTGAGGCTGTCTTTGAACTTGTGATCTTTCTGCCTAAGCCTCCTGAGTTGCTGGATTACAGGCCTCCTCAGGCTTTCTCCACTACACTGGTCTGGTGATATGAGCTAACAATCTCAGGTGGTCATGCACATTCCACATTGTAATGTACACGCCAGAATGTATTAGCCCAGAGGGTGGAGTGATGAGCAAGATGCCTCTCAGGGGAAATCATCCCCTGAATACCAGCCAGAGGTACACTGGGAACCTCCAGCCCCTTGGTGACTGTAGCCCTTCTGCCTCTACTCCAGGATCCAGGCTGTGGTCATAGAGTTGGTCCATTCAGAGCAGATGCTGCTTATCTTGTGCTCCTTGTATCTTTGGACCTGAGATAGTGTTGGACACCARAGACAGAGTTCTCTGGTCCAGCATTGTAGAGCCATGTCCAGTCAGTTCCTGAGCAGGTAGTACAGGCTTCGGGATCTGGAAAGGCATAGACTTTTCCCCCATCCTTGTCCCATCCCAACTGAGGTGATTGCTCTCTGCTGTCCCCTAACTTCATACCTATTTTCTGTTTGGGGTGCACCAGGGCCCCGCATATGACTGAGCACAGAGTATTTACTAAGCACAAGAACTCAAGTCCAAAATTGGTGAGGAGGGTGATCCTGAGAACAGCCTCCCACTGGATTTTTCTAGCTGGACTGCCTTTGGGATTYGTGTAGACCCGAGGACCTGCTATCCAAAGCTGGAACTCCATTCAGCCCTTTGTCCTGCTTAAACTCTGTTCTGCTCTCACCACCTGTCACAATTAGACTGCTTGATTTCCTATGTTAGCTCTGACACCCCCTCTAGAGGTGGCCCTTCAAATCTCTTCCAAGTCCCAGAGGCCCTTTGCATTTCTTAACCTCTCTCATGAGAATGGGGCTGCAGCTCTGTTTGTGCTTCACAAGGACTCAGGCTGAGTTATTTCACACCAAGAGGCCTAGGGRGCACAAGGCAAGCCTGGAGTGAGAGCAGAAGTAATGAGATACCCTGCAAGGAGGAGCCAGGAGCTATGCCAAGGATACCAGGCATGTCTGGCCAGCCCCCGCATCTGTCATATTCTCTAACACAGGGGGAGGGGGCAGAGTTTCAGTTGGAGTCAAGGCCCACTCTGCCAGGAATGGAGGATGGAGGAGTCCCTGAGGCAGCACTGCAAGAGACCAGGTGGGCCACAAGAAAGTCTGGAGACTTCCAGACAGTAACTCCTGTTGAGAGACAATTTATGTTCTTTTACAACAGGCTTTCATTAAGGTCAGGATGAGGTTTTAGGCCACTCTGTAAGAACCCCAGAATTAGGAAGATAGAGGGTCAGAGATCCCTTTGTGGACGTTCTAGCTAAGGAGCTCACCTATCAGCCTGTTTCAGGTTGAGAAGATATTTTCAGAATTGGTAGACATACACACACACACACACACACACACATACACACACGTATGTGTCCTCCTTTCTCCACTGAGTCATTCACTGGCCCTTTTCACTGCTTCTGCCCAGTGAGGGGCTGCTGACCTCTTGCAAAGCAACTAGGGGCCAGCCATGGCCACCAGAGGGCAGCTGGGACCATGGTCATGGCAGACAAGACCATCTTCACTCAGTCTCCTTCTAAGGGCTAGAACCTTTCCTGAAGTGCCCACCTGGGAGGCCAAAGCTCTGCTTCCTCTGGGCTACTTGTCAAGAATGTGGATCTGGAAAAGAAATCATGGGGCAAGCCCCTTGGTGCCCCTTACACTTGGATGTAGACTCCAGGGCCAAATGGTGGGAACAGTGAAAAATGGAGCCCTGTGCTTGCATGGCCCTGAAAGGCCTCTTTCAGACATGCACCCAGCCACTTTCCCAAGCCTGGTCCTGTCACCACAGCAGGGTACAGGCATGGGTTGTGTCCTCATGATGTTCTCAGGGTGGTAGCTGCCTAGAGGAACACATTGGTTTTGCTATGGTGGACACCATTGTCATTGGGAAACCTGAATCTCCCCTGTTAAGTGGTGGCCAAGGTGTGGTCCATAAATATGCCCACCTTGGTTTCTGGAAGAACATATCCCCAGCTACTTGTATTCAATTCCACCTCTGCTCACAGAGCAGGTTTGGAGGAGATCTGTCTAGGGCTATAGCCTACCAAGTTCACACTGCAGCCATATAAAGCAAGTTCTCAGACCTATCTGATCTCTCTGGGCCATGGGCCCCAAGCCGCGTGCCTAGCATGCCCAATCCAGATCCTGTCCCCACTGTGGACTCAGCTTGTAACCATAGGAACTGCCTCATGCAGTTCATATTCTTAAGACTTGTAGCTCATGGTCTGGTTGCATGATTGGTCCTTGCAGCCTGGGCTGGGCTCATGCCCTAGTCTGTGTCTTCTGTTTGGGCCACAGATACTACATCAGAGCTGTAGACCTTCCCAGGACTGGAGGTGGTTCTGTGGGGAGTGGGCAGGGCCTGGTAGTACCCCAGGGCTTGGCTGTGAGTAGGAAGTTTGGTGGGGAGTCCCAGCATGGAGTGGCCATGGTAAGGATAGGACCAGGCCAACCTATTTGTTGGATGAACCATCTGACAAGGTTGGTGGCTCTCCTAGCTACAAGATTCCTATTTCTGAGTCCTTGACCAGATGGATGACCCCTGAGCCTATAGACTAGCCTCAAGGAGTATTGAAAGGCTCTTCTCAAATGGRTATCTCCTACCCCCTTGTCACAATTCTCATCATTAGATCTATCTTCATATCTCTGTTCTGTCACTTCTTAAATCACTTCCTCCATCCATCTGCTGCCTCAGGGCTTCCAGCAGGCTGGCTACAATCATTCTGCCTTAACCTCACCTGTATGAAGCCACTATGACAAGGACACACTTAAGACCRAGACACATTCCTTCTGGCTACCACTATTCTGCCTCCACAGTCCCTTCTTCTTCCCCACCACTGCTCCCACCACCACCTCTGAGGYACCTTGCAAGGCAGGAGCCCCATTCTTCTTGAGGACGTGCCATCCCCAGCTGGGTAGAAATTATGGGGAACTCCGGAGACAGGAAGATCTGAGCTCAGATGTTGGTCCAATCACTTTCTGTCCTGGACCTGGTTTTATCATCTATAAAATGAGGTGTTAGCTCTACTCGGGGCACCTAGGAGGAATCAGTGAGATGTTGGCAGACAACCTGCATTGCACAAAACAGCGACACATGGCAAGTCCTGAGGAGAGACTGTAAGATATCAAGATTGATGATAAATTCACACAGTTCTTTGTGGGACAAAATTGTTGTGAATATTTAAACTAAAAGCAAATGTGTCCCAGAGATGTCATATTGAGAGGAAGGATTCCTGAGCCTCAGACCTCAGGATAGGAGCAGCATTTTTATCTACTTGGGTGGAGGGTATTAGGGGCTAGCCCTAAACCATGCCTACCTGCTGCTTCCAGATAAGTCCTTCCAGGCTGGTCTATACACAGATGCACACTAATTGTGCACATGAGCATGCACCAGCTTGGAGCCCCAGTTTGTTCCTGCCTCTGACTTCCAGGTCCTAATCCCCTAACCCCTAATGTTCCTGCCCTGACCCATGGCCTGTTCCCACTCCTACACAAAGTTCTTCCCCATGATGAAGGGGCTGTTGGCACACCCAAATAGATCACATCCACACAGGTTGGGTAGAGACTCAGAACAATCTGGAAAATACCATAGAGCAGAGGCAAAAGAACTCCCAGCATTACCAGCTTTATCCTCAGACATGGCTTCCCAATACCCTCCACTCAGGTAGAAGAAAGTGCTTCCCAACCAAGGCCACCCCTCCCTGCCTATCTATGCCATTCTGGTTCTCATTTTTACAACATGGGTGCTTTGGCAGTCTCCAGGTGTGGATATAATTAGAGGGAATGTGTCCCCAGGCTATTGGCTGAGACAGGAAGTGTGTGGTTCCAGGACTGTGAGCTGTGGCCTATGTGAGGGACAGGTGCCACCTTGTCCCCATCTTGGCTCCATATAATGTGGTCACCCAAGAGCCAGGTCCCAGGTTGCACTTGAACATAGCTCTGGGATCAGTAGCCTACCTGCCACTGGTATCTTATGGACTGGGGAGCTGCTGCCTATTTGGGAGAACAAAAGATCTGGGCTGGCCTCTGGGAGCATTAGGAGAGGCAGATACTATTCCATAGTACAGGAGTGGACTCTAGGGTAGAAGGATCAGGGCCATGTTGGTGGAGGGATTGTGAACACCTGAGTAGGCCACCAGAACTGTGGTCCTAACTGTCTCTTGTGCGGGACTTCTCTCTTTATGCTTCTTATCAGGATAAAATGAGCCCAGCCTTCTGGAAGGGGAAAAGAGGTCACTATCAGTGCACAACTCTGAACTCTCAACAATGTTAGAAATACAAGAGGGGCTAGAAATATAGCTGAGTGGTAGAGTGCCTACCTAGTATACATGAGGCCCTGGGTTTGATCCCCAGTGCTACAAAGGGAAAAGAAGGAAAGGAAGGAAGGGTGGAAGGAAGGAAAGAGAAGTTGACTTGATATAAACTAGGTACCAGCGACATTAGGACAAGAAAGTGCACACAAGTGTGTGGTTATGAGTCAGGAGCACTGCAGGATGACCTTAGGGTTCAGAATGACATCATTCTGATTTGGARTCTGGACCATTACATCTTAATCCAGAAGGAATTCACCCTAGCTGGGGTAGCATTAAACAGTGCCCTCTTGTTTCTTTGCAGGAGCCAGAGTCCACAGGATGGGCATTAGGACATGCTGATCTCCCATAGAGAAAGGTAAGTGGCCTGGGGTTGRCCTGAACATATCTGTTTCCCACACAGGACAGCATAGTCTTGCTGAACCTGGCAGGTGTGGTCAATAGAGAGTGGATGGGCACTGTCATCCATCCTGGTCATCTTTACCTTGGTTGAGCTTTATAACCTTTTGTATAAAGGCTGGATATGGCAACCCCTGCTGGATTTCCTAATGGTCCCAATGTGGGCAGCAGCCACCAGTTTGATGTCTGACTTGAGGACAACCCTCTGGTGGACCCAACCTACCAGACTGATGGTAAGTATTGATTAGGACATTAGCTAGTTCTGATCCCCATCCAGTTTGGCTTGGACACCAGCCATTGCAATCTGGATGTCAGCACAGCCGGCCCAGCCTTGTGTTCATCTCAGGGTAGCTCCTAGGAGATTGGAGCACCTGGCTGGTCATAGCTGATGGGCCTCAAGGCCAGCTTCCACAGACTTTGTCTGAAAGAGGCAAATAATAAATATTGCAGTTTTTCAGGTTTGTGATCTCTGTCACAGCCACCTTACTCTGCCATTGTAGAGCAAGAACAACTGTAGACAATTTTAGCAATGATCTATCTTTCTTTCTTTCTTTCTTTCTTTCTTTCCTTCTTTCCTTCTTTCCTTCTTTCCTTCTTTTTGTTTTTTGGTTTTCAAACCAGGGATTGAACCCAGGGGTACTGAACCACTGACCAACACTTCTAGCCCTAGCAAATGATATCCTGCTCTGAGTACAGCTGGGGGTTATATGTGCTGGCCCCTGCCAGTGGTGTTATCTGTGTTTTGAGTTCATCTGTTAATTATAGCTCACTGAGATGTGGTACTAGGAAGATACAACAGATTGGAAGGCTGAGTGATAATTATGTCCCCCTATACCCTTTTGAATAGAAGGGACTCCCTGATGGCACCTGACACCCTGTCAAGAATACTGCTGTGATGGTTGCTGCTGGGCAGAATGGGTGATTGGTTACAAAAAGTATTCCTAGTTACTCTTGTTCYTCCAGTACAGTTGCCCAGTTCCCAGCCAGCTATCTGTCCATTTCCCTACCTAATGAGTGCTGTCTCAACTAATGACAGCCCTGTGGATTCTTAGTGACACTTATCACCCAGTGTGGAAGCCTTGCCCACTGGTACTGTGCTTGGGAGAAGGTGGTAGCAGCAGACCCAGGAACCCCTAGGTCTTTGGGTGCCTGAGTGTTCTGTACAAAGGGATGTAGGGGAAGGGAGAGAGAGAGGTCTGGTTTCTCATTCCTTGTTCCCAAGGACCTTGGGTGTGGGAAGTTGCTGACCAGGCCAGCCCAGGTCAGCCTGGGAGGAGCTAAGTCTGTTGCTGACTCCTGTGTGGGAGAACCAGTATTTGGCCAAGTATTTCAGTGCTCAGGTCATTGACCCATACAGGGAATTCTGGGAAGAAGAGGCTCAGGCTGTGTCCAGGGCTTACTGGGCCAGAGTGTCCAGGACTWGGGACATAACATTGCTTGTGACAGAAGGTAACAGTGTCTGGAGACAACAGCGTGAGGAGAGAGTGGCTCCCATCCCCCTTAACTTCTTAGGGAGGCCAGGTCAGATGTCATCTCTAATAACAAAGTCTATGGGGGCGCGGGAGCTAAACACATCAAAGGCTACCTGGCCCTTATCACCTGATTTTCCTGCCATTGCTCACTCCTTTCCTGTCCCTCTATTTCTTTTCCTGCTTCCAATTCCTGGTCTTCTCCTCATATCTGTTGCTCTGTTTCTTTCTCTCTTTCTCCCCCTCTTTTTCTTTTTTCTCCTTGCCTGTACTCTGACCATGGAGTGTTGTGATTGATTATTCATGTCCGACCTAGGCATTAGATGAATGGGTGATGGCATTTGTAGTGGACCACATTTCACAGACTAGCAAGTAGAAGCCAGGCCCATACTTATTGGTTCCCTGTTCTGCTGAGCCGCAGGATATAGTTCTACCCATAACCAGGAAGGAGATAGGAGGGAGACATCAAAGCTAAGTTGAGATAGGGACTGATATAAACACACATGTGTGTCCTACACTCGGCTTTGATAACATCTCCCACTCCCGAGCCCCATGCCCAACATTGGGCATGGCAACCCCATTGGGCCCAGCCCTGCCCTTGAGAAGCTCCCAGTCTGGCTGAGAAGATGGATATCAAACAGGGAAACAGTGGCTAACTGTGGGATTGTGAGATGATGAATGGAGGGGCTTCCTGGGGATGGAGAGCTGGAGGGCCATGTGATGAGTTGGCATATGCTGATGCCAGGCCTAGGTGACAAGGGCTGGTGGGGGCCAGCCCTGGTATTCCCTCTCAGAAACAGGCACCCAGCCCATCCTGTCCCTGTGCTGGGTTTCCCCTGGGGTCTTGATGAGTTTCTTAGCCCTTAATATGAGCCTTTCTATATTAAAGATATTAATTATTTGCTCATCTCCCTGCCTGCTGAATATTTTTTCTCAGCTTTTTAATTTTTGTTTTTGACAGTTTTTTTTTTAA